TAAGGGTTCCCAACATAATGCCTTGTGCCTCTGCTAGAGATTTAACTCATACAGTATGATGCTTCTAAAGAAAACTGCTTGAGTTTTGACAGAAACCAGAAGTGTGCAGATTCGGCGGCATGCAGGCTCCCTGTCACCACCTGGAGACGTTTCGTCCTCCTGGAGTCACACGGAGGGTTTCTCTGGAGGAGGACTCTGAACTTTAAAACCCTCTGAGCGATAGCAGTCGGGCTGCACTCATGAAGCCAACCGGGACTCTGAGTTATTTTTAGGTGGCTACACTGAAAGAATTAGGTGAATACTCCCCACTACAGCTAAAAATACCGCTGTGTATCACAATGCTGTGACCTTACCGCTGTTACCACAGAAAGGCCTCTGCTGCTTTACTAGGACTCTTATTTGTATTTCAGAAACTATGAGATTTGATTTATTTCACTATTAGATGTTATTTCTATGAAAAAGCTGCAGCGTTGGGGAGGAAGTGACGCCTGTAATGTGTGTGAACAGCCACTGCTGGAGCTTTGTTCCTTATATGGGCAAAGACTAGCCAGCAGCTGAGTCTGCATGCTGACACACACACAGCTACCTGGCGAACACGCCGCCGCCGAGCAGAAACCCCAACACCTACAGAAGCATGCTGTGACATGTCATGTTCTCAAACACACTCTGCTTCCTCTGATTTATACTGGCCTTACCTCAGCTAATGAGTCTTAGTTCCTCTTTTCTACAGGAAAACCTTGTGAAGAACCAGAGGCTGCAACAATCCACTAACTTCTTCACTGAAAACCCTCAGAAAGATTAATGGGGCCGTCTCTATGTCCATATTAAGGCAATCAAGGTTGTCTCTGGATGGAACTGGTTTTAGAGGAAATTATACACCAGCTAAGCACTTCATCCTGCTGTCTCCATGTTTTACCCACAGCTCTCATTAGAAGAACCACAGTTCTGGTATTATTGGACCTCTGTCCAGCATTTGACAGTTGATCACTGCATTTTATTAGACTGCCTAGATATGTGATTAGGATTCCGCCAAAAAGTCCACAAACGCAATAAATACTCCTACGAGCAGCTTTATTTCACCCTAGCACTACTCCTCACACGCATGTATAGCATGTCACATGTTCAAATAGAGTTCCAAGGGCCCCAATATATCACCCATATGAGTGCTTGTTCCTTCTCCACACCAGCGCAGCCTCTCTTGTGTACGGACCTGTTTCTGATTGCTCCCGTTAACTTTTGTCACTTTGAAGGCGTTACCCGCAGGACAGATTTAGGAAATCCCGCCTTCTGAGTTCTGACTCTTTGCCAATTTAACCAGAGTAAACTGTCTTCAGATTTCCAGCGAATGTTTGAGCTAGCAGGAACTATTGGGCTATTTCACCTGAACTTTTTCTGTAGATGTCCTATAACCGTTTTTAGTAGACCTCCGACAGCCAATCAGAATCCAATATTCATCCAGATCATGATATGTCTAATGATGACTTTGCTTACCGACTTCCAACTCTTGAAAAGAAGGAAATCAAACCACATGCATGCAGAGAAGGGACAATCACTCATATGGGTGATATGTAGGCCCAGTGGTGCTCTATTTGTGCATGCAACATGTTAAAAATGCATGTGAGGTGTAGTTTATGAGCATCTGAATAAGGTAAAGCTCCTCATAGGAGTATTTAATTGCTGAGTTCGAATTCAGCGGCTGCGTCCGCCGAAGACCAGATTCAGATCGGAAGACTCATTATGCAGCCGATGAATGCAGCCTTTTTGTCCATTTTAAACGACAGGTCCGGTGCATCCTACGTAGCCTTGGGATACCTGTTGTGCCGTACAGTGGTAAATATTGCAAGTGCAATGTAATGGAAATATGTGAATAATTTCGTTTGAAATGAATGAAAATAGTTGTTTTAAATGGTTATTGAGCCAGATATGTAGCGGGTAATTTTGGTTTATTGAAAGGTTTTATCTGTCCCTGTGCAAATGGGCTTGGCTGACATTTTAGCTCAGATTCCAATATATCTGCAGTATGGGGACCATAAATCTGTTATCTGAGATGATGGTACTGCTTCTAAAGCTCTTTGAAAATATTAGGAGCACCCAGAACAGCAGTGAGAAGTCCAGCATCCATTCTTTGCCTGATTTGTGTGTCAACTGACACGGTTGCCAGGCAAAAAATTGTATAGGCCATGAAAGCTGGAGAAGGCTGGATCTGTTTGAATCCATACCAAAACTCTTCTGACCTTATTTTCACGGACCTCCAAGGACCCAGTCCAGGTAGACCGGGACCTTGGAGGATGCAGCCGCTGAAATCGAATGCAACCATTGACTGTGTGGACTTTTGGCAGAATCCTGACGCCATACCTAGAAAACTGGGTCAACCTTCTTGTTTACAGCCGGACTGGTTTAAATACCACGCCAGGGTGTAGAAGGCTTCCAGCCGTACATGTTTGAGCCCTTGCCTCGCAACGCTGCCAGTTCTGTTAGCTCTACGCCTGCTGAAAACACAGACGTCCATCCCTGTGAACACTGGGACGGAACTCAATGGGAAAGGAAATTATTCTTATTTCAACGTTGCGTATATTAGCTGCGACATATGAATCAAGGTGCTATGACCGAAAAAATTTGATTGACAGATGACCGTTGATATATGATTGGCTGAATTTAGGTGTTCAAGCTGACGTATAACTAGCCTGCATAAGATAACGAAGAAAAAAAAACAGATTTTAAGACAGGATTTTTTTTTTTATAGAAATGTTTTAACTTTTAAGAGTACATTTATATACATGTTTAAGCCAAAATGATGATATTTAAATACGACTTCCCTATGACTTTAAATCCTCCTCCTCCGATGAATGAGTAGCTTTCATGCAGGGATGCCATCAAAGAAACAGAGGACCATCTATCTCCACTGAGGGTAGATGATAGCTCTCCTTATGCGTCTCCCTGGATTAAATGTCTCATCTACGGACCAAAATGCTGATTTATTCGCAGCATGCTAAAGCTTCCAGATCATGTTAGCATTAGTAGGTTTAGAATTCGCACAGTTGCGACCGACTCACTTTGTTTGCAGGTCCAGCAGACTTTGTTCGGCCCTCTGCAAACCCTCCAGGTCTTTCACCAGCTTCCCCAGGTCATCTCTGGACTTCCTGGTCTGGATGTAGGCGAACCAGCAGCCACCTAGTGCCATCAGCACAGATAAACCAAGAACCAGATCCTTCCATCGGCTCTGCTGGCCTGTTCACACAGAAGTAACCCGATGAAGTCGGACAGCACCTCTGAAGTACTCCACAGGTTATACTTCTAGTCATCATCTTCTTCTATTAATAAACCAAATGGGTATTTTTAAGGAATCTTTGTGGTTTCTGCACCAATGGCAGCACTAAGTGCATCTCACTAAGCCTTCTTAGCCATCTCTACTAGTAATATCTATAGCTGTAATCAACAGTGTGATGATCAGATCATTACGCACTAACAAAAAACTAACCATTTATCATCTCATATCTGTATGCAACGTCTAGTAATTAAAAAGAAAAACAGTATGCAGTTTATTTACAGTAAACGTTTTCAGGGTTTAAGCTTTTTGGTTCCAAGTGCAACAACAAAGTAAAAAAAATACCTGCAGCGCAAGAACAACAAAAAAGTGAACATAGTTTCAATAAAGAAAATGAATTAAATTGTACTAAAACAGACATAATCTAATCAAATATACAGAAAAATATCCAGTTTATGTTCGTCTATGGAGACATCAACACTGATCGTAGCTTTTCTGTTAGTAGATCTGGCTCTTCTTTTTGAGTTTTTACAAGACTAGTGGCTCATTTTTATGGACAGCAGGCTGACAGGAAAGGGAGTATGAGAGAGAGGAGAGAGACATGCGGCAAAGGACAACAGGTCGGATTCAAACCCGGGTCGTACATGGGTCGCTCCATACATGGGTCCTGTGCGCTAACCACTGGGCCACCAAAGCACACCCAATAATCTGTTTTTTTATGTATAAATAATGATTCCTTCATGGTAGTGTATATTTCTAACAAAACATGCACAAATACATTATTAAATTGTTATTATAATAAATAAAAATCATCATTCAAGCAATTAAACTCAAATAATTGTTCTTAGGGGCCCCTTGTCGACCTGGGGCCCTGAGCAGTCTCTTACTTTGTCTGGCCCTGGAGTATCTGACAGGATTAAAACTTTATTTTTATATTGTCAGTTAGCTGTTTAATTATTTTAAAACATCATAACATTAAACTTCGGACTTTAAAATAACTCTTAAGGGCTGGCGGTGTTTCGCAGTGAGCTTGTCACGGATATTTTTAATGTATGCCCCATATTGAAGCGCGGTCTGCGCTATGTTATTCCACGCCACAACGCAAGAGGGACAATCAGGAACCAGCTGTGGGTCTAGATACGGACGAGGCGGTGAGGAAGTGGGGGCAAGATTGTGCGACAACGGAGGGACATAAGGGCCAAAAAGAGCGGGGATCCAGGTGGAAAAAGGGTCCCAGCGTTCTCTTGCACTTCGCTCTTCTAGCTGGTCCATCTTCACGAGTTGTTCCCCACAATGGCGGTCATACAAACAAAACAAGCAGCTAAGGTACCAAACAGGAAATACGCATAGTGTAGAGTGGATGTAGATATGACCAATCAGAGGCCTCCTGTCTGCGGAACTGTCTGCAATCACCTACAATTTGGAAAAGGTGCAGCAGAGTGTCTGCAGCAGGGGTGGGGGCACATTAGCATTCACACATGCAGACGATCCTGTTTCTCAGTCTAAATCAGCCTGAAGGCCTCCGTACATTTGTCGTGTTTGCTAACCACTGTGCCACGCCCAATAATCTTTTTTTTTTTTGATGTATAAGCAATGATTCCTACATGGTAGAGTATATTTCTAACGAAAAATGCACAATTTAATTATTAAATAGTTACTATATTAAATTAAAATCATCATCCAAGCAATAGCACTTAAATAAATGTTCTTAGGGGGGCCCTAGTCGCCCTGGGGCCCTAAGCAGTCCCTAACTTTGGCCGGCCTTGGTGTATATACTGCTGTCCTACCTGGACCTGCCTATTGGACACGTTCAGCATGCAGGTCTTATAGTCACATGTCATTAGGAGGAGACCCAGGAACAGACCAAGGACTCGCTGGACAGACAGTTAGCAGCTCAGTGTTTGTTTAGAGCTGCTGAAAGAAGGCTGAGAGGAGGGATCTCAGCTGAGGCTGGTCTCAGGACAGATGGATGGAGTTCTAGGATGGATTCTAACACCTCCATCTCATCCTTTTTAAAGTTTTATCATATTTCTTTTCTATTTTTTTCCCCAAAAGTTACTTTTTATTTTCTAATACTGAACAATTTCAAATCCAGTTCAAAATAAAAGCTGCATCCATCTACATTCAGAGGGGCTTTTGTTTTTGATGTTGGTTGGGTTGCTGAAGACCTTAAAGTTCTTATACAGTTTCAAATCTGAGCCAGAATTTACCAAACAGAAAGTCAACTGAACAAACGAACAGGTTCATGTCAGCCTGTCGGATTAAACTGGCTTGTTCTATAACAGATTTCATAATTTTTAAACAGACTGATGCATAGAGGGCATCTGGGATCCCACCTGGTGGAGGTCCAAACAGAACAATGTCCAGGGCCTTCAGCTGCAGCTTCTGAGCGTGACTTCTGTCCAAGATCTTCAGCAGGGAAACCGTCAGAGTGACGTTCTTCACTGCCAACCTGCAGCGAGGAAGAGGAGGACAGGATGGAGGTATGAAACCTGCAGCTGATTCTGAGGGTAATTGATCAGATCCAGCTAAGGTTCAGAACAGACAGAACCAGTGTGGGAACAGAAAACCGTAACTAAGCAGAGACGGTAAAAATAACCGCAGACATCCATCATGTGACTGAAGGTCCAGATAAAGTAAACTTTGGTTTTCTTCAGAGGCTCAGAGGGACGTCTGTGAGACGAACCGCAGACTTTAAATGTGACAAACTGTCCAAACAGACACAAAACAAAGCAGCTCTGGACTGGAGAGAAAAAACCTCAGATCAGGCTGAATTTTATCCCTTCAGTGGTCCACACCTGCAGTTGGACTCAGACTGGACTCTGCTGAGGCAGTATGTGGTCCTGTTTAGGCTATCAGAGTAGAGGGGCTTAAATCAAATGCATACAGTTTCAAGATTCTTCATAAGTACAAATCTTGATCAGTTCTGTGAGGTTCTGACTCATAAAATCCTATTAAATGGGGCAAATGACGCATTTCCTGCTTCAGGTTCGAGGTTTACACCCTTCCACTCTCAGCTTCTGTATTTGGGTTAAGTTTCTATCAGTAAACAGAGTGGTTCTGATTGATCCAGTTCAGTCTGTTGTTACCTGGGCAGATCTCTGCCATCCAGCTGGTGCTTCCTAAAGCTCTCTGCGTACTGAGGAAGCTCCACGCTCACCACAAGCCACTCCTCCACCTGCGGCGCCGTCCAGTTGTACACTGAACACACAGAACAAACCGTGCAGATCCATCAGCACACAGGAAATACCTACAGAGTTCCGCTGCAACTCAGGTCCAAGCCCGACCCTGCTGAGTGTAAACAGTCTCCAGTCCGGGCAGTCAGTCTGGAAAACGGAGCTGGAAAAATGCACTGGTCTAAAAATAGCATTTTGGATTTGCATGGTTCTTGGTTTCTTCTCTAAGCCTGTTTTATGTTTATTTAGAAATATCTGTCTTAATTTCTAAATAACTAAACACATACATGATCAAAGAAAGCACATCCTGATATTCACAGTAAAAGCTGAGAGAAACAGGTCTAAATACTGAAAAACAGGCCCAGCTCCATCATCTACAATGTAAGATGTTGATTGCAGCAGCACAGCTGATATTTCTCTCCAGAATGGAGTCACAGCCAAAGATGAACAGACCAAATGAAGCTACTACAATAAGAGAAAGCATCAAGTTACAGGTTGAACTAACAAATACTGCAAAACGAGAGAATAGAGATAGAATGAAGCAGAATGATGAAAAAGGGCCCCTATGTCCAGAATTGGAACAACTCATTTAAATAAAATTTAAAGGTTACTAAAAAAATGGTCGGAGAGGATGGGGTTGTGAGGAAATAGTGTTATATCTTAACATTCAATGCCATATGTCAGCACAAGGTCCAACGTATGAAGATGAGAATGTGTGGGACTATTCACATTTTGAACAAAGCCAACCAAGTCTAAGATAGCATTAAAGGATGTATTTAAGCTATCAATGTCAGCATGGATGTTAAAATCCCCCACTTTGATGACCTTGTCAGTATTTAACACTAAATCCGATAGGAACTCTGAAAAAACTCATTACAACCTGGCGGACAATACACATTTTTGTTACTTTGCAACCTGGATGAGGGGAGGCTGGTGGCTTTGATATCTCAAACTGTATTCTGTAAAGGATAAAGTTTTAAATATGCTTTTTTTTTCTCCTCTCTTCCCCAATGCAACTCCTATCTTTCCACAGAGATAAAGGCAGCGCTATAGGTAACAGCCTGAGACCTGGGAAGCCAGATAACAGTTGGGAACCTGGGAAGCCAGATGAAAGTGCCAAAGGCAGCGTTCTGCAGCACGCATGGCCTCAGTAAAACCATTCCCCCTCTCAGCCCCTCCAACACCACCCCAATATATGATATCTATTGTGATGAACGGTTTGTAGTAAAACCGAAATCTCTTTTGCAAAGTAAATTGTAGGTGACAATAAAGTTGATTGACTGATTGAAACTAAGGGTTAAATATTCAAAAGAGTTACGATTACTAACTGAGTAATCAGTAAGTCAGATTGAAAGATTGCTGCTGCTTCTCCTCCTCGCCCAGAATGTTTGGACATTTGGAATATCAAATAGCCAGAGGGTGTTGCCTCATTTCTCCTAACATGATCCTCCTACTGCAGCCAGGTTTCTGTGAGACAACTTAATTCAATCTAATATCACAGATGAAGTCATTAACTAAAAACGCATTTGAGGAGAATTATATCATTTTCAGTAACCCAAATTTAATTGTTTTAATATTTCGCTCTGTTGGAGTCGTATTAATATTAGATTCTAATTTACTTGATTGTAGTCTTGGGCAAGACGCTGTTTGGATGTAGTAATGAGTAGTTAACAACAGAGAAGCTGCAGAGCGGTGTGTTAAAGTACTCTGCTTCCTGGTCTGCACCCTGGGCTGTCTGGGATTTGGAGGACTAATAATTTTTGGCCAGATTCCTAGAAAAAGGGAGCTGCACCATCGAAAGTGCGGGGGGCTGTTGAATGATGACATGTGGCTAAACATGTCATCATTGGCGAGATTGGGGAGAGGACCAGATAAATTACGGAGTCATTGCCTCCAGCGTGAATAAATATCTTAGTGTGGTTAGACTTTTACGTCAGCAGTTTCAGGTTGGAGCCCATCCTGGCCCCCGGCAAACATTTGACTATGATCCCTGATATTAGGGTCAGCTAACCCTGATCCTGGTATTATTAAAATAAAATAAAAGAAATTCAGCATGGCCCTAATACTTGTTCATATGTTGAAGGAGACAGAGGAATAACTGAACATATAACAGAGAGAGGAGGAGACTTAAACAAAGACACTAAAGCCCTAGAACTAATGCTAGGCTAATGCTAGACTAATGACACCTTACCATGCTTAAAAAAGCAAACAACGCATGGAAGAGTGCAACAGTAGAAAGTGCTTGAACACCATACAGCGATCTGCAGAAAAAACAGGAAGTGATGTGACAAACTCCAAAGAAGGCACCTGTTTTGGTTCCGTTTCAGCATCAGAACAAAACGGACTCATTACACCCATGAATCCTGCAGAGAGTCCTGGTTCTTCCCGCTCACCTTCTGAGCTCTTCCAGGTGCTCCACATGTCCTCCACGCTGATGTGCGCGTCGGCCCGGTGGAAGCTGTTGTGTTTGGCTTTCGGGTCGTTGTACTTCAGGTCCTCCCTGAGAAACTGAGGAGGGAGTCGACATCAGGAGCAGGGCTTTTATTCCACAGATCGGGACACGTCCCTGGCAGTCTCACCTCGTCCGTCTCCATGGTGTCCACGCTGCCGTCCGCATCGTCATCCATCAGCTTGTGGATGCTAAGGATGGCCTCGAAGCTGAGGAGGGAGTTTTCATCGCCACAGAGCTGCGGGTCGATTACGCACAGATCTGAAATAGACAGACAGAACCGTTAGATAAACAAAGCTGCCCAGCGTGGATCAGTCTCATAAATCCAGTTTGGACTCCATTTAGGAAGTTCTGAATAAAATAAAAGGGTTTAAATATTTAAATGATTGTGATTTAAAGAACAAATCATTTATTTTAAATCTTAAATCAATGATCCATCAGTCAGTCCATGCAGGATCAGGTGGTCGTATAAACCACAGCTGTTAGGAAAGAGGCTGATGGACCAATTAAAGGAACTCATACAGATGAGTCACATTAGGTCAGGACCAGACGGGTCAGAAATCAGGGGCAACCAGCCGAGTCTGCTTGATGTCAGGCCTGATCAAAGGTTGATAGGGGACATGGCTGTGTTTACAGTTTGGAGACAAAGGTGGACAGATAGAGGAGAAGGACACAGAAGGTCTGAGCAGGAAAGTCCTTCTGCTTTCAGCTGACAGACATGCAGGGATCTAAAGCCACAAAGTTCACTGGTCCAGACTTAGATCATAGAACCATAACGCTGTCTGCTTGGCACCCAGAAGCAGCAGAATCTCCGTCCAATCTAGAGCAACAGAGGTTACTATGGAAACACATGTTAAATGCCAACATTAGGTCATTTTTAGCCAGTCTGACCGACACGCTGCCATCAGAACAACGCGTTTAGAATCAGGTCTGACTGCTTCCGACCATCTAGATGTTCTGTAGGGGGGAGGAAAACAATCTTTTGGCAATATATCACGTTTTTTATTAAAATCAACCTTTTAGTTCCTAGTATCAATTTTTTTAGGGAAAATGGGATACCTCTGCACCGCCAGTCTGGCAGATGGCGCAGCTCTGTATCTGTAGTTGAGGCGGTCACAGTGGAAGACGTGAACTGACTCAAACCCCCAAGCAACATGGATACCAAAATATCTGAACGATCAATATCATCTAATGAAAATATACAGCGCTTCCATTTTTTATCTGCACATTTAGTTTTGATAGCAGGAAAAATATCTAAATATATGGAGATATGGCAATATAGTAATAATATCGTATCGCAACACCAATGCCAATACTCGCCTCTCATGTTCTGATTTATGCCATTTTCCTGCCAATCAGCTACATCTTTCAGTGACCCACAGCTCAGTGAGGGTATTCTGTCCTCAGGACTGATTGTCCATCTGACCTTCATGGAGGATCAACAGAAGGACCAAACAGAACAAACTAATCCTTTATCGCCTCACAGTGGTGAAATCTGGGTTTAGATCCAACCAGTTAAATGTCTTGGAATGGTCTATTCCAGAGGTCATGGATTAGCAAACCGCGGTCTGGATCCGGACCCACCTGCTGGCTAATCCAGACCCAACCTGATTTGAAACATTAATAAATCACTGCATGTTGTCTGACGGCAGTGTCTAAATGTCACTTGCGCTGCTTCTACTGTTAATATGGTAAAGCCCTCCTGAGCATTCGGCACCGCGGTGAACTGGTGACAGAAAAGTGAAATGGTGCTCAAAGGTGACCCTGCACATTTAGAGGATGTTTGGCCATGAACAGAATCAAAAATAAATATGGATCCAGGCTCAGAATGAGCTCCTTGATCTGTGCTTTAGAATGGCTTTGTCTCCATTCAAACCCAGGTTTAAATCCTTGCAGGGCAGCAGAAAGCCCACTGCTCTCATTAAGACAGAAAAAAGAAAGAAAAAACTAACGGTCAGTTCAGGTGTTTTATAAAATATATGAATTAGGAAATTGTCTATATACCAAACTCAACGATTGTTGTTCTCTACTTCAAAAACCACTTTAAAATTAAAAAATGTTCTATATATTTTCTTGTTTAAAATTCAGTGTATAACATGGATGCATAAACACCTAATTTTTTTCAGTGTTAAATTCTGTTTAAAGTAACAGATTCTAATTAAAAATGTCTCCGGACCTTTACTGGTTGATTTTCTTTATTCGGACCCTGCTATCCCTGGTCTAGTCAAAGTAAAGGCTGATGTTCTCAGTGCAGTCTGAGCTGGAGCTGTTTCACAAAGAGGAATGGAGAATATTTTTAGTCTGCAGATGTTCAAAGCTGGAAGAGAAAACCTGGGTGGGCTGGATCCAGAGGAGGTCGTACTGACCCAGAGGGGCGGGAACCGATCCAGCCCGGTCCGTTCACCCAGCAGCTCCGACCCAATAACTGCTGGACGAAGCCTTTGAAGTTTGAACGATCACGTTGAGCTGATAAGAGTCCAGGGGTGTGAATACTTTTATAGAAACCGGAGCAGTGGTGTCTATCAATTCCAAACATCAGGAAGCGACTGAAGCACAGTGAGGGGAGTCGTCTCAGCAGTGGAGGGTTGCTGGTTTGATTCCAGCTACCAACTCTCAGATGTCTGTGTGTCTCTGGGCAAGGCACCTGATCTGAGGTCACCTACAGATTGCAGGATAAATGAGGGGCTTCATGGAAACGGTACGTTTAGGAAGCTCTTCCATCGAACACTGAGCTGCATTTCTCTGAAGACCACGATAACCAAAAAAAAAAAAAAACAAGTCTTTGGTCCATAAAAACATTTTCCATCTCCTGCACAGGAAAAATGGACTTAGAAAGCTCACCAAACGCATCTGGTGAGGTTTACAATCCAGATGTCAGCTGGAGACGGACTTTAAGAAAGCAGATAAAGCTTTATCTGAACTCATAAACACTAAAGAAGAATAAGAAAATAAAAACCAGACAAAGTAGAAAGAGTTCCTATCTGTCACATGATGACAGAGACAGGTGTCTGTAAACCCAGAGGAGCTCAGGCAGCAGGACGGTGTCCACTGAAACCTGCAGCACAGGTCGGTCCAGCCGCATGGCCATCAGTGCTCGGATGGTGGAACTGAGCTCAGGTTCCCTGTGGTCCACAGAGACGGCTCCATAGAAGAAGAAAGGGGCTGCAGAAAGGATTAACTGAGCAGCTGGGAGACAAAAATATCCTCATAACAGACAGGGAGGATTGTGGAGTTAAAGTCAGCTGAACCTCCAGAAACTACGCTTCCCATCATGCACCCTGAGCTCATAATGCTTTGGGTTACACTTCCTAATGAGGCAGACATACAAAGATCAAAGAACTGGAGCGAAACTAGTGGAAAAGCGCCAAAGCTCTTCTGGAGGCCTGAGAATCTGCTGATCTAGACCCTTTAGGAGAGTCAGAACCAGACGAATGGACCGGGCTTTAACAGAACTGCTGGAAAGCGCTGGAAAAAAAGGCCCAAATTTAGCCTCCATCTCCTCAACCTCCGCTTCCTGAGTGGGCGGAGCCAACGTTTGCAGCCTTCACATATGTAGAAGCGATGACTCTGTTTTTGTTGTTTCACTTCCTGTGACATCATCAGGGTGCCATCTTAAGGAAGCTGTGGTTACCTCCCACGCTATCACTGTGGCACAGCTCTGCAGCTCAGCGCCTCAGAGTCCAAACAGCTTCAGCACAAAGATCCGGCAGCAGACATCCATCTGAAACCAGACGGCACCATCTGACTCTGAAGGCCTCGGTCAGTAGGTCAGAGGTCAAAGGTCACTGGATCGGTTTGGTAGAAAGATGAAGGTCAGCGAGGCATGTGGATGAAGGACCACAGGAGCTCAGAAGATCTTGGACCCTAACAAACAGAACCACGTCAAACTAAATGCACGGTGGAGGCGGGTTATGATCAGGGCCACAGGACCTACAGACAAACACACTGTTAGACTGGAAGGTTCTTTTTGCCCTGATAACTAGTTTTCTCCAAATGTTATTAACCTCAGTTTGACCAAAAACGATCCATCTAACTGGACCTTGTAACGCAACCCAACCGCCTAACTGGACCCGAGCCTCTAACTGGACCCGACCATCTAACAGGACCGTCTAAGTGGACCCCACCCTCTTACTGGACCCGAGCGTCTAACTGGACCCAACTGCCTAACTGGACCAGACCCTGTTACTAGACCTGAGCATCTAACTGGACACAACCATCTAATGGGACCGTCTAAGTGGACCCGACCATCTAACAGGACCGTCTAAGTGGACCCGACCCTCTTACTGGACCTGAGCGTCTAACTGGACCCAACCGCCTAACTGGACCAGACCCTCTTACTAGACCTGAGCGTCTAACTGGACCCTCTAACTGGACACAACCATCTAATGGGACCGTCTAACTGGACCCGACCCTCTTACTGGAACTGAGCGTCTAACTGGACCCGACTGTCTAACGTGACCCTCTAACTGGACCCGACCATCTAAAGGGACCGTCTAACTGGACCCAACCGTCTTACTGGACTTGAGCGTCTAACTGGACCCGATTGTCTAACGGGACCCTCAAACTGGACACAACCATCTAACGGGACCGTCTAACTGGACCAGACCCTCTTACTGGACCTGACCGTCTAACTGGACCCGACCCCCTTACTGGACCTGACCGTCTAACTGGAGATGACCTTCTAACGGGACCGTCTAACTGGTCCCAACCCACAAACCAGGCCTGACCCAGCCGCTGCTCTCCTCCATCTGCTGATTTCACACAGATTTGAGAGAATGAGACCAAATCAGTGGTTCTGTAGGGGTTCTACAGGGTTCTGTAAGGCCCCTCATCACTCAGCTGGACTCAGCTGGGGCAGGGGGAGGGGATTATGAGATGGTTTACAGGATCATAATGATGTGTGAGGTCAACTGGTGGCCAACAACCGTAATAAAATACATGAATGTACCCTAAAATAAGGACATTATGTTTGTTGAATGGTTGTTTTAAGCCTGTGACCCAAAAATACATCGAGGTACTTCACATGCAGCTGTTTTTGAAAGTTTAAATACCCTCCCAGTAAAGAAAAGGATAAACTCACACTAGCAATAAAAAAAAGAAATAATAAAATTTACTAAATGATAATTCAGCCAAATAAACTATTAATTTTTAATGTATTTCCTTTATTTATAATAAAAAAAAATGAACTGACCCAGAGAACTGAAAGTGGATTCTTCACCGTGAAACAATATACCTGTAAACAGGTGCAGAAATCAGTGGCGCCTCCAAAAAAGGATTCACGGGGGTCAGATGGGGCCACTAAAAACTAAAAGCCATAATCTCAGGTTTTGAATCTACTATGTGGTAAACCTGCCTGTAGAAATCATAAAGACTTAAGTAAAAACCTACTCATATCTTGGTTTATTGTGTGGTTTTTAATGTTACGTCGCTGGCTATGCAGAATGGGATGAAATGCTAAACTGATGCTTCTACAATTTAACCTGGCCATTGGGGTGGTCAGTGGGTTGGCCACGGCATTGCACAGGGTGGCCGTGGCCAGCCCCTATTGGCGCCACTGGCAGAACTGTTCAGAAAACACCTGATTTCAGTGATTATTGCCTCAAAGTGTTGCTCAACACCGTTTTAGTTCAGGGGATTTTTCTTATACCATATGCCATGATCATGGTTTTTGGATATTGGGAACCAGTGTCCATATTTCATCTTGACATGATGACCAGAGAAGAAGATAAAAGTTTGGTGAACAAGCAGCTTTAAGAACTCTGCAACCCCCCTTCTTCAGCCAAAGCAGTCACAGGCATGTCACATGGCAAGTGACAGCGTTGTGACCAACCACCCCCCTCTTTGTTGAGGACAGACAAAACCACCAAACACACAGGATTCTTTCTCTTTGCCCTCCGCCATGGGGCTGCCTGGGGTGCAGGTCCACTGGTTCTGCACCACACTGGAGACCCCTGGCCCAAGGGGACCCAGATCTCCAGAATCATCAAGGATAAGTTATCATGGTGACCTTTCAGAACCAAACTGCTGCAAAACCTTTTGCAACACATTTCTCTTGAGTTTCAGGACTTACAGAGCCAGACTGGAGAGAAGGCCCCCTAAGGACCCCTGGTGTTAGCCGCTGAGAAAAAGAGAGCCTGCCTTGCCGTGCTAAGCTGCTGCTGGATGAAACTCAACCTTCAATCTGGACATGGAAAAAAAGGTTTGCAGGTCTGGCACAATTAGGGCAAATATGTATTTTGATGATGTTGATCATTTAATGTGTTTACTGATGGGTAAAGAAAAAGCTAACAAGATGGACTGCACACTACACAACACTAGTTGGTGAAGAGCGGACAAGCAAGATTGCACAAACAGTATAAACGAAGAGTTAAAACGAGGATTAAACACTAATATAATAACAACATATACACAAAAAAGTACCACCAACAGGCATGAACAAGAATCCTGAAATGGAAAACAGAGGAAAAAATCATGCGAACAAAGACAAAGAGGGCAAAAAAAAAAAAAAAAAAAAATAAAACAATAATTGGTCAAATAATGTTTTATTCACCTCATGGATGTGCATTGTGAATTGGTCTGAAAACATTCCAATCTCTATAAATTAGTGAAAAGCTAATTTGATCATATTCCAAATTCTTCCAGATAAACTTTGGTTTTCAAACTCAAAATCCATCTTAAACTGTAATATGGTTTTCAACCATGTTTTCCCCTTCCTCTTTGTACATAGTAGTTTAGTTTAGTTGAGTTTTACTAGTCTTAGTTGAGAGTGTTAAACTGAAATACATTTGACTTGGAGCTGAATGATTTTTGTTAATAAAATCTTATATTTTGAACAGAAGTTGTGGTGAATTTATTCCATGTATGTGCAGAAATAACTGTTTGACCATGATTAGTGCTTGAACCACTCTTTCATTTATTGTTTAAACACACAGTTAGTGGGGCGTGTGTTCATAAACAGTATATAACAGCCAAAATAAAATCTGATTAAATAAGAAATTTACCACCCCTACTGGGGAGGGCAATAAACATCTTAAAGTATCAGAAATATGAATTCCCAGATTATACTTTTAATCAAAGTCATGATTTACATTTTTTATTTACTATCATTTTTGTCAATTGGATTTCCTTTGCTGGCAGCTGATTTTTTTTTCTTGTCTTTAAAGGAAGTGTGTGTAAACTTCCAAGCACAACTGTATATCTTAAGAGTGAAATAATTCAATTTACCTCTGAAGTGAATGGAAATGTATGGATTTAATCACATTTAATGAATCTTTAACATTAAGTTTTTATTTAATGGAACATTTAAAGATTTAATTGTATTTTCAAAATTGTATTTTAAGCTTAAACTTTGAATGAATAATTAAATCTAAATATTAAACCTACCTATTTAATGGTATTAAATGATCTAATTATGTACTTTACCAAACATATTGTGTGGGAAAAAAATAAATCGATTAGGTGGTTTATGGCCTTCAGCTGGTTCTAACGGGTTCTGCTCTGTTCAGTTCTTCATCTCATTTTATTTCTTGTCTAGAAACATCAGCTGGTAGCATTTGGTACCGATCACCAACCATTTGGGTCCATCAAGAAGGTGGGGGCTCTAACGGGTCCGCTGGTCCAGAACCAGCCAACTAGCCCATCCAGAAAGTTTTCTGGATGGAGCAATCTTCATATTTCTGCTAAATTGGAAACCAGTACGAGACTGGTGGTACCGGCTGGTGTTGGTTGAAGCCAGCTTCTAGGTTCTGCTGTCTGGGTCACAGATGAGAATCTTTGATAGTTGGGTCTTACTGCAGGCTGTCTGGGCCAAACATCTGAGAGACTAACGAGGATCCTTTTACCTGAAGCCGTGTTGCCGTTGGTAACAAGATGCTGATGCTGGGGGTCATGGTGGGTGTGGTCACTCTCGTCCAATCCGCTGTGAGTCCTCACACACAAACTGAGCACGCTCACACACACCAACCACACACGCTCCATACCTGAGGACAGAGAGGAGGCTCTGTTAGACCTTTCAAAATAAAAGATGTTGAAGCAAGCCAGAGGATGTGGGGCAGGGTTCTGAGGAAGGTCCTATTGGTTCTGAAGCAGTACAGCTTGCGAGGGCCACTGTCCTGCCTAATGTCGGCCCCCTGGGGCCTCTGTCCTGCCTAATGTCGGCCCCCGAGGAGCACTGTCCTGCCTAAAGTCAGCCCCCAAGGGCCGCTGTCCTGCCTAATGTCAGCCCCTGAGGAGTGAGGAGCACTGTCCTGCCTAAAGTCGGCCCCCAAGGGCCGCTGTCCTGCCTAATGTCAGCCCCTGAGGAGTGAGGAGCACTGTCCTGCCTAAAGTCGGCCCCCAAGGGCCGCTGTCCTGCCTAATGTCAGCCCCTGAGGAGTGAGGAGCACTGTCCTGCCTAATGTCGGCCCCCCGGGGCCTCTGTCCTGCCTAATGTCGGCTCCTGAGGAGCGACGAGCGCTGTCCTGCCTAAAGTCAGCCCCCAAGGGCCGCTGTCCTTCCTAAAGTCAGCCCCTGAGGAGTGAGGAGCACTGTCCTGCCTAAAGTTGGCCCCCAAGGGCCGCTGTCCTGCCNAGGAGCACTGTCCTGCCTAAAGTTGGCCCCCAAGGGCCGCTGTCCTTCCTAAAGTCAGCCCCTGAGGAGCGAGGAGCACTGTGCTGCCTAAAGTCGGCCCCCAAGGGCCGCTCTCCTGCCTAAAGTCAGCCCCTGAGGAGTGAGGAGCACTGTCCTGCCTAATGTCAGCTCCCGAGGAGCAAGGAGCGCTGTCCTGCCTAAATTCGGCCCCCAAGGGCCGCTGTCCTGCCTAAAGTCGGCCCCCAAAGAGTTAGGAGCGCTGTCCTGCCTAATATCGGCCCCCGAGGAGCGAGGAGCACTGCCCTGCCTAAAGTCGGCCCCCAGGGGCCTCTGTCCTGCCTAATGTTGGCCCCTGAGGGCCACTCTCCAGCAGGTATTGGATGTTTTCCTGCTTTAACTCAGCTGATTTCCATCAATACCAGATCAACAGGCATCTGCTGAACTTCAACCATCAGAACCAGCTGAGTTGAAGCTGGGAAATCTTTAAACTTGAAAGACAGTGGCCCCCCAGGGCCGATCTGTTTTGGGGGAACATCTGCTGCCTTCAACATCAGATCTTCTCCAAGAAAGTCCAGCTCTGGGTCACCAGAAACCAGACTCCTAATGTTTGGTTGAAGAAGAGGAGGGTATGGGTTCTGACCCGCATCCAACAGTTGGACCGATTAAACCTGTAGGGTCCGGACCTCCTCACTGCTCATCTCCTCAGAGACAGAAGGAAAGGGAATCTTCATCCTGGAGGAGCTAAACCTGAAATGCAGGACTGTCAGCAAAATGAAATCAAGCTTCCTGGATACCAAGGAAGAGTTTATGGTCCAGAAAGACCATCAGAACCTTAAAACCAGAGAGCAACAGGATAACCCAATGAATCGGTACCAATCATCTACCATCTGCTGCTTTCCTAGAAAAGTTTGTTAGAGGTCAGAGGTCAAACAGCTGTTCACTTTCCCACCAAATTCACCATCATCATCGTCACCACATTCAGACTGTGTTCATCTTCACCCACCTCAGCTGAGCTGCTCCTTTACTCCATCGGTCCGGTCCAACTGGGTCAGCAGCTGATCGATCAGAGTCTGATCCGCAGCAGCTCAGAGGAGCGAAAAACTGAGGCTGAAAGAGAAAAAAAAAAGTCAGAAGATCCGCCCGTGATGCGTTCAATTGCCCGGGAAATGCTCCGAATTAGGAGGAACACAGAATAGGTTCCCGTTTCAAAGTGAAACAGATGGGGTGAATTTAACGACAGCAAGTATGAGATTATCATCATTAACGTTTAGTATTTATTTATTTATTTTTATCTTTTAGGAGACGTTGAGATAATTAATTTCACATTTTAGTGAGTTAAATTTGTAAGATGGTTTCTTTTAAATTGGGGAGATTTAACGGTTGCATTCACTGAACTGGAGGGCAGAGAATGAGGGGAGGGAATTAATAATATGAGGTTAAAAATGAATTTACTAAAAATAACTTAAAGTAAATTTGATATGTTCCGTTTGTTTTATTTACAATAAAAATGTAGTCAGCATTATATTGCTTATTAAAAGCTTCTTAAACTTCAGAGGAATTTCAGAGGAAAAACCGCATCTTCTCTAATTTCCCACTGTACGCAAAGGCAGCATTATCCAAACATGTTGTCACGGTGCCACCTTCTGGCCAATCAGAAGAGGTGCAGACAGGAACTCCGAACTAGTGGAAGATCAAACTCAGAAATTTATCTTAAAAACTTTTCTGTTTTGAAAACTTTTTTCCCGCTGCGTGTGTTATTGCAAGAGGCCTACATGTTTAGAAAAAAAAAAATCTTAATATCACATCTGGACAGTTTTCATAGGATGTAGCGATGCTAACAGTTTCCCTTTGCTTCCTTTAGATGCTAAGCTAACCATCTGAGCTTTCATTTTCAGATCACCGAGAGAGGAAGAGGAGCAGCGGCAAGACGAGATGAAGGCAGGAAACAAGCACCAGAACTTAAAGGAACAAAAAGCACAAAAAAAGCAGAACATGACTGCAGTGCGATTTAAAAATAAACCATAAGTAGAATCAACCATTAACAAAAAAACTGAAAATGTAACCACTAAGGTGCTACAGATAAACCTCGTCCACTAGAGCAGAACCACAGACACAGGAAACCTGCGTTTAAATTTAACCCCAGACACATAAAAAAAAATACATAACAATGCCACCAAAGTTTGAAAAAAATATATATAAAACACACAAAAACCTCACTCAAAACACAAAATTAATCAAACAGAAGTTTAATACAGACTCAAATCAGCTCTAAGAGAAAAATAGCTAATAAATCAGCTCCTATTCACCTAAAAAAAATCACAAAAATAAAAACTAAAGAAATAAGAAAGAAAATAAAGTATGAAAAATCAACAAGGAACAGAAAAATTACATTACGGAAAACAAACGAGCAGTATACGGATGCATGAAGGCCTTTGATGCACACAGACACACCTGTTCTCCCTACCTGTCCATCAAAGAGGGGTGGGCGGGGCTTAACTGTCAGTCTGAAGTCATTATCAGTAATCCACCTCACACACTTTATTTCTAATGTTTGTCAACTCACACACACACATATTGAAACTTCCTCAAACTGTAACTCCACCACTTCCCCTCGGACTTCCTCCTCCTCTTAACCCCCACCCACCCTGTCACAGTGATACAGATCCACAGACACACACACACCCTGACACACTCCTCCACCCGCAGCAGGACGGAGCGGCGCTGAAAGCCTAGAGAGGAGGACTAATGAGCGGTGAGTCTGTCCGAGTTCAGTCTGCAGCTCCATTAGACCGGACTCTGCCTCTGTATCTTGTTGTTGTGTGTCATGCTGCTTTCTGCGGGTGTGTCTCCCCCCCCCTGTCATCCAAACTCTGAATTGACCTCTGGTTCTGTCCAGCTGATGGATCCGTCCTCCTCCTCCGCCCGATCAATAATCAGATTGTTTGTTTGCGATTGTTTCTAAGCAGGAAACTGGAGATGGAGAAGGACCACTCCCTGACTGTGTGTGTGTGTGTGTGTGTTTCTCACTTCTCCTTTTAACCTTTTCACCATCAGAACCTCAGAAACCCCTCTCTAAACTCTGCAACTTGAACTTTTTTCACCGTTCAACATGAGATCGTTTATTTAATGAAACATTGGAGAGCGGAGAAGCAGGAGTCCAGGAAATTCGAGGCTGAGAGAAAAAATCAGGAACTGCAGGAGAAGAGGAAGAGCTTGTTATACTTCAACTGTTTTCAATGGGGACGTCTATCAGCTGGTTCCTTTAAGCCAAAGCTATGAGCAGAGAAATATGAAGAGAAAGAACAGAGCAGAGGCTAAGCATCATCTCAACCAATTCTTTAACTAGGACAGTAACACCAGAGATGCAAAGCTGAAAACTAGGGCGGTTCTCCAAACTTTCAATGAATTGAACCCCAAAGGGTTTAAAACCTTTCAATGGTTTAAATTCAATGAGTCCTCACTAAGTCTGGAATGAGGGATCCACCTGTTGACACGAGTCAATGGATCCTGAGGTGGTGTAAGACTTGTAGACCCTGGACTTGAAGCTCTCAGACCTGTAGCGATTATGTTGTTTCAGGAGACGGTTGAGTGATACCAACACACCTGATGCTCCACATGTGGATGGGATCATGGATCAGTTGTATGTCTTGGTCTGATCCAGTCTGGTTGGATTCGTTTATATAAAACACCCCAAGCCACGCTGAACACATCTTGGTCCTTTCCTGAAGGTGTCTCCTGAAAAAGGTTTTGGCCATTTGAATCGTCTGTGGAACCTGAACCTTAAAGTGGCTTTGAGGTTAACCTTTGGCTTCCCCTGAAACAGGACACTGCCAATCTGTGGCATAGGAAGATCAGATGCTATTAGCCATTTTCGTCCTGAAACAGCAACAATAGACAACACCATCTGATCACCACATAAACAGGCTGTGGTTTTGGACGCGTCGATTACATCAGCCTTGCAGCTCCCACACGTCATGCTTAAACAAACACGGGCACCGCTGCAGCAGAATATAGCCAAGAGCCAATAATACCAAATATAACCTCAAGATATGCCAGTGGTCTTAAACTCCAATCCTCGAGGCCTGGTGTCCAATTTTTAGATGTGTCCCTTTCCCTAAACACCTGAATCAAATGGCTAAGCTAGCTCAAATTGGAGTCAGGTGTGTTGAAGCAAGGATGCATCTACAGCTTGAAGGAAACTGGCCTACAAGGAGTGGCATTAGAGACCACTGCTCTAGATAAATCGGTGCTCAGTCTGCATTGATGAAGATTAAAGAGCTGGTTATACTCCCGCAGCAGTGTTTCGCAGTGAGCTTGTTGCAGGTATTTTTGATTTATGCCCAATATTGAAGCGTGGTCTGCGCTATGTTATTCCACGCCACAACGCAAGAGGGACGATCACGAACTAGCTGTGGGTCTAGATACGGCTGAGGTGGCGAAGAGGTGGAGGCAAGGGTGTGTGACAACGGAGGGACATGAGGGCCAAAAAGAGCGGGGATCCAGATGGAAAAAGGGTCCCAGCGTCCTGTGCACCTCGCTCTTCTAGCTGGTCCGTCTTCATGAATCATTTTTTCCACAATGGCGGTCATACAAACTTAACAAGCCAGTAAGGTACCAAACCACACAGGCATGAGTAGAGTGGATGTAGATTTGACCAACGAGAGGTCTCCTGTCCGCGGAACTGTCTGCGGTCACCTACAATTTGGGAGAGGTGCAGCAGAGTGTCTGCGGAGGGGGCGGGGACGTCCCTGCGTTCACTGCGACACACACAGACGACCTAGTTTCAAAGTATAAATCAGCCTTAACTGAGTATGCTGGATGCTTGAAAATGTAGGTGAAACTGACAGCGTGACTTACTTTCCGATAAGTTCCATTACATATAATCCGACTCAACGGACCTGTGGACCTCTGTGACGGGTTCTGGCTCAGGAATGGTGGGCTCTGGAGTTCATGGTTATCGATAGCTGTAGCTCTACGGTGTTGGACTTGTTGCGATTGGGAGGAACAAGAAGGAAGGTCTGTCAGCACTCCAGTCTGAGTTGGATCACCTTGTGGAAGCAGTTAAGGGGTTTCTGAGGTGTTCTGCTGTCTCATGGTGGATCAGTTAGCTAGTTGCATTGGGTCGGGCTAACATGATAGCTAGTTCTGTTTTGGATCGTTGACTTGCATGATCTTCCAGTTTTACTCCTGGCTATTTATGTGGTGGCCTCTTTTTATCTGGTTTGAGGTGATATTTGATTGGGACCAGTTATGGGTAAAGAATAATCCACCTTCTAAACAAGTTAAACTTTGATTAAAATGTTTTGGTTGATTGTTTTGTTTAGAGGATGAATGAATAAACAAAACCTTTTTGATCTGATCAGGAGGACTTTAAAACAGTTGCGATGCTGAAGCAGTCCAACACTTAAAGTTTCTCTTATGTCCGCTGAAGCCGTCTTTCTTGCCGCTTTCCTCTTTTGGTCTTCGTTTGGTTATTTGCACCTTTATTATGAGGTGATGACATCACTCACAGCGTCATCTTCTGCACGTGCTCAGATGTGAGTCACAGCCATCTTTGCTAATCGTGTCCAAGTATGAAAGCAGGAAGTTTACACTGTGAAACCAAAGTTTCTCCAGCCAGTGATTCATTTCATTTTAGGTTCAAGTTTTATTTTTACCTCTAACCAGTTTGCCTGGTTTGTTCGGACCCGTATCAGATAATAATTATTTTGGTTATTTTAATCTTCATTTTTCCATTTCAATAGATGGAAGGGTTATTTTTGGAAAATAAAGAGTTGAATCCATCATTGGACCAGGTTCTGTCTGTTCTTGCAAAAATCGTATAATGCTGGTGTTTATCCCAGTTTGGGCCAGTTGGTTTGGGTTCTTATGGCATGTTTCAGCTTTCCCTGCAGCTTTATTTTTTTTTTTTCTATCTGATTCTTGTTTTGGGTTTATAACTCATGGGCTATATGTCTTTTTTTCTAAGGTTGTGGTTGATACTGAAGACCTAGTTGGGCCCAGATTCCCAGGTGTTTTAAATGTTATCTGGTCCAGGTCCGGTAGCACTTTTGCGGATGTCATCATATCAGATTAGTTAGTTTGGCTGGGACCAGACAGGCTGAGGTCCTGCAGGAAGGGGCCTGGCAGACAGAGGCCTGGGCAGGTCGGGGCATGGCATACTGGGGCCAGCAGGCGGAGGCCCTGCAGGCTGGGGCCTGGGCAGGTCGGGGAATGGCAGGCTGGGGCTCGGCAGGCTGAGGCCTGGCAGACAGGGGCCCAGCCAGGTTGTGGCATGATGTGCTGGGGCCAGCAGGCGGAGGCCCTGCAGGCTGGGGCCTGGGCAGGCCGGGGGCCTGGCAGGCTGAGGCCTTGCAGGCTGGGGCCCTGCAGACTGAGGCCTTGCAGGCTGTAACCAAACGGACTGCTGCTTTCAGAACTTGTTCACACTTTGCTGCTGCAGAATGAGGACCTGTTGGACAAACCCTTCCTGTTTCAATTTTGTTTTAGATGGTTCCTCTTTGGCCTGTGACCTCCTTCAGGAATCTGACTCAGGAAATGCTGCTCTCAGAGGCTTTTGGACCCACCGGCTTTTAAAATTATTCTAGATGAACACCTGTTCTGCTTTAGGACTGTTTTGACCTGCTGAGCTCACTGCAGCTGATGTTCTACCTCCACTTTGGTCCAAAACTGCTTGGTGTCTGATCTGCTGAGATCCAGCCGGTGGTTCTGTTTAGCAGCTGCTTCCTTTGTTTCCCAACATTTTCCCTAAGCTGTTTATTCCTGAAATCCTCTGGCTGTTCACCGTCCTGCAGACAGGCCATTGCTCAGCTGTGAGAACCTTCGGAGTGTGTCGACCCCTTTTTCAGAGGCCTTCCTGCCTGCTGTTCAGCTGCAGGTTGTTGGTTCCTCTGTTTGGTTAGGAGACGCCTCTGAGGCAGCAGAATCAAATATAACAGCAGAGAGAGAAGAAGAAGACAGCTGACGGGGCGAAACCATGTCGGTTCGCTGGTTCCTGAAACCAGCTGCCAAAGGTCCGGACTGTGAGGAGGGTTATCTGAACGATGAAATCCAGATTTGGCTGTTCTGGTCCAGTTCTGGTGGGCCTGTGAGAATCTCTGGTGGGTTGCCTGGTGTGGTCTTCTGCTGCTGTAGCTTATCAGAGATGGTGTTCACAGGTATTGGTGCAACAAGGGCTCATTTGAGCTGCTGTTGTCTTTTCATCAACTAGATTCTAGAACCGTTGGTTCTGCTCTGACCTCAGGGAGCCATCTTTATCCACTCAGCTGCTGCTAACTGGAGCTTTCCAGGTTTTCAAACAATTTGCTGTAAACCTTGGATGCGGTTGTGGGTGGAAATCCCAGTAGATCAGCAGGTTTTGATCAAATCAGACCCAATTGTTCTGGTTCTAACGACCGCTCAGTATTCAAAGTCAAATCCTGTTTCTTTCTGATGTGTGAACTTCAACAGGTGGTCTTCATCACATCCAGAGGAATAGATGACTCTCTGCTGTGTAATTTGGTTAATTGGCTTTAGTTTTAACAAGCAGTTAAACAGGTGTTCCTAATAAAGTGCCTGTAAAAGTTATTGATCGCTGTTCTTTTAGCAGCAGACAGGAAGCTGCTGGATTGACACGTCCCTGAGAGCTAATGACTTTAATAAGCTACAGAAACTGTTGTACAGTAAATCATTGATTTTTTTATTAAATAATGTTAGATGCTTTCGAGCACTTGTTCTTCCATCACACAACATTACCCATAAGCCTTTGCAGGG